ATGTACACACACGTTTTTAACATCCTGCGTGATTCTCACCGAGACTGCTGAGGCTCTGACGACACATAGACAGATAGCGGCCACGCAAGGCAATTTCCGCGCTTCGACAGGCAGGCGGTCTTGAAACATCGTGAATTGTCGCTAAACCACCATTTGCCATTCTTCATATTACATAAAAATCAACATTGATGGATGTTAAAAGGTGGTGAACACGCAGATAAAATCTCATTTCAATCCGAGTATCCAGCACGGGGGGGGGGTGTTGCGTGTGAACGCTGGCTGAGAAGTAGCAACGCTGTTTTCCATGAGCGCTGTACTGCAATCAAATGTTTGGACGCACTATAGAAGTATCCAATAAGTTCGTCACTGTGGTTACGAAATATTTCCAGTTGGGAAGTAAACTTTTCAGACTTCTATCAGCTTTTGCTACACGAGAACACCTTCGACATCATGGAAAAACAGAAAACAGGAAACAGACGGGAAAAACTGTCTCAATGCATTTTTGCACATTCAAATCAGCAATCATATGATCCATTGAAAATGAACAATATGCAATTAGCTGATGTTCAGGTAACAAAATTTCTAGGTCTCTCAATTCAGCCAAACCTCAAATAGAATGTACATATAATAGAATTAAACACTAAATTAAGTTCATTAAGTTACGCATATAGAAATATTTCAAATTATCTTAGCCTTCATGGAGCTCGTTGCGTGTATTTTGCAAATGTACATTCCCGCCTGAGATATGGCATAATATTCTAGGGAAGCTCATCATGCCCTCAGACCTTTAGATTGCAAAGGAAAATTATTCGCATAATGAAAAAATGTCATCCGCGTGATCCCTGCAAGCCTCTTTTCACTGAGCTTGGAATCTTACCATTCCCCTGCCTATAAGTATATTTACGAATTTGTAATATTGTTGAAAGTGACTTTCGTAACTGTATTTTCATGCAATACTGATGTTTATAATTACAATACATGTTGTAAAAATCACGTTCATCAAGTGTCAGTATCAACAGCTCACTATCAGAAATCCACATACAATACATGTACGGTACTTGGTAACGCTTTGCCAGATGACATTAATCAATTGAAGTCGGTTCACTAATTTAAGTTAAAAGTAAAATCTTTTCTGCTGCATAACTGTTTCTATAAAATTAGAGACTATACTGATTATCAAAAAAATGTTTATTTTAACAAAACAGTGATATATTGAATTAGTTTAAATTTTATAGTATCATTTTTTTTAAAAGTCTTAATATGTTTGTAACAAATAATGCACTTCAACTTCTGGGTCACTGACCCCCATCTCAATCAGGTTTTTGTTCAGTGTCCCTGATCCACTGAGAGTTTTGCTTGTGGACGTAAATGTAGCTTCACTATGGGCACGTTTTGTTGAACTTTCTTTTTGTTTGAAATAATAGGAGTAGTGGTAAGGGCGAGTTTCTATTTTGTTAGCAATGCAAAACAATCATACTTGCAAATCATTTACCGATGCAAATAAGTTTTCTATAATTCGGAAACGAAAATGTCTAGTTTTTCAAATATTGCTAATTTCGCGCTTTTTTAAATTTAATTTTAATTTATTTATGTTAAACTTTTACTCATCTTTCAACTATTTATAGTTAAAATGACGGGAAGGGATTCTGGAACTCAAGAAAGCGTGCATCTCATACAGTTCTTACTGGGTTTTTTTACTAAATAAATCTAAATCGAATTCATTAAATTAGATGTATTAAAAACAACCCCATGGGAGCTAAAAAACTGATGCAGGTCTCAGTTTAGGCGAACTCTCTGTATTTTCGACAACTGTAAAAACTTTGCAAACGTATAATATTGTTCACAGAGATTGAAAAGGATAGTTTTTTAATAATTTTTCGTAAAATGTAAGCACCATTTGCTTAAGTTTTGCTTGAACTTAAAGCAATTTATAAAAGGAAAATTCCCACAAATACTCCAATTTTTTAAATTTATTCCTGTGATATAGCTGAGTACGCTCAAAAAATGACAAAGGTCTTACATGCGTTGAAATTCAAATTCTCGAAAATTGTAAAGGTTATAAACAATGGGAGAAAGTATATGATGTAAAGCCACTGGTTTTAGAAGTTGTTCTAAACACTCTACAAAATCGCTGGACCTACCTTACAAAATTCTCAAACGATGCACGTACACAGGGAGAATGGAAATTAATGCATTAAGAAGTCAAAGTGCCCAAGTAACTATTTTCTGTAACAAAATCCATACATCCAATAAGTTCAATTTTGAGTAAAACGTCCTAAATTGTTGAAATGTATATCCATCGAGTTAGAATAAGGAATAAGAGCATAGAACACAGAAACCTACTAGCTTAAGTTGAAAATCCAGCTCAAGAAAATGCTTTTGCAGGTTGGAAACACTTGGGGAGACGCGTGTTAGGTCAGTTAGAGTCCTCTATATGAAGTCGCCGGCTGCGATAATATATATATGCAAACACAGCAGAATTTTTGTAGAGTTCGACTAGTATCCCGTACCACTTTCAAATAATACAACAGAGTATGTATTGTTATGGCACTACTTTGGTTAGCCGCCAATAAACTTTCATATCAATCTCTGTAGTACATTTGTCGCTTGAAGGCTACTACTACAACCTCTTCTTTAGATCACGCTGAATACGCCAGTGGAAAAACTGAAAAACATCTGTAAATGTGCTGATTGATGATGGTCGGAGCTTGGTGTAAATTCAATCACAATTCTATCGCAATTACATAAATAATTAAAATCTTCGGAATTTTATACCAGAATTGATTTTGAAAATTTCGTTTTAATTAAGGAATTATTGGGCACTGAATGGTCAAGGAAACGCAAACGGTGATCAACATATACTACATTTGAAACGCCTATATTTGCTCATTCATGAGCGTCTGACTATGAGGAAGAAATTAAAATTAAATGTAATGGAAGAGGATTTTATAATCCCACATGCGTGACTCGATTAGCGTGAACCCTTTCCACGATGCAACCCCGGTTCGATTCCCGGCCGAGGCAAATTATAATTGTCATCTTGCCTTACAAATTTCCCAGTATCTATTGCTGTGTGATGACGAGAAAGTCCACTCTAAAATTACGAAGACCAGAATATATGGTGAAGGGATGTCTTCGTGCTTACCACACGAGCTGAGACCCCGCTCGTCGGCCAAGGCCCGAAGCGGGCTGTCGAGGCAGAGGACAAGACAGGATTTTATAATAGAGATCACACTGACGAATATATATGAAGTATCTTGGGTAACATTTGTGGGTAATTGTTTTAGCTCTACGTAATTATTTAAAGAACCGTATCGCCAAATATTATTATGGTTGAATTGACTGTTTCCCAAGGAGGCATTGAGAGGCAGAAAAGCATTGTACTTTGGAAATTAAAGTAAGTGCTGATTACAGAGGTCAAATGCCTATTTCCTGCCTTAAAATCTCAAGGCTCTTTGTCTACCATGTTTCCCGATATACGATTGCCTTGATTAATTTCATTGATATATTCATCCCGAATACAGAGATTTATTCATCGAAACTAAGACAGAGCGAGATATCTAGAGGTCCGGCCTTGATAGCAGAGGTTGTCCGGTGTCAGACTCACAGCGCCTAAATTACGAGAGAAAGGGGCTCATCTCGCATGAGTGACCTCTAAAAAGGGTGTTTTTGTGTGCACATTGACTGGAACTTACTATCCCAGATTATTAAATAAAAATAATAGAATCACTTCCCTTGCCCGTTGGACAAATGCAACTTAATTTGTCAGTATTATAGAATTATACAATGTTTCTCAATAGACATTCTCTTTGAAGTAATTTATGAACACACAACCTACGAGAAATTTCTAACAGAATATTTCAACTTCGAAACGAAACACCGGCTTCGCTTCTCAACGACAATAATTATCGTCTTAATAGCAATTCTTTAGCAAAAAAGAAAACCTTTATTATTAGTCCATTAGATCCTGAGATATTATTGTGTAATTTGTCATAAGATTATGAAATTAGATATGTTTGTTAAGTGTTATTTCAACTTTAACCTCTGGAGAAAAGTATAAATCATGATTCATTAACGTCATATATATTTACAGATGATTTGGAAATAAAATATCACATTTTCTTCATACTTTTGTCTTCCTGTCGGCGTTACTACAGAACGATTATGTAACCGCATGAGACCCGTTTTCTGAGTTTTGTTCTGGGTCAATGAACGAAATCATGACCCAACAATTTAGCACAATTACTCTTAGTACTGTAAAAACACTACCTACTATAAAATAGTAGTATTATAAGGGCAGTAATGCATAATTATTTGCAAGCAGTATGCATTATAAAAAATGTCATTTCCATTCTTTTGTATTAAGTTTCTCTTGATCTGTACACAATATCCCGAGACTGCTCCTCATTCTGCATACTTGTAGTAAATGCAGTTTATGTCGCCTACCCTCCAAAATCTATTAGCGTTTTTTTTAACCAATGGTATCTACCATTTTTAATCCCACGTTGCTTTATCGGGATTAAATATCCTACTCGCATATACATCTGAACCTTTAACCTAATTCCCAGGAAATGTAACTGTTTTGGACTTCAAACAGGTCTCCATGACCCTGTTTTCAACTCTGGTCAAAACGCGTTAATTTTTGAAGGGCGAAAAATCCACATTAACCTGTTGAACAATTAAATACTCGACATGTCAGCCTAGTTAGACAACAAGAAAAGAAAACAAAATCCTCAAACAATTCCCTTGTAATAGATAGATTTAGAGCCAACAAATTTGCTTTCAAGTATCCAAACAATAAAAACAATCCATATGACAAAGCCTTACAAGTAACAGCCGCATGAAACTGCCAGCAACCCCGAGGTCTACAAAATGACGTCAGTCTTCAGGCTGCGTTCGAGGAGCTATTCCAACGGAAGGGAGGGCAATGACGGGGAGGGGGTCGCTGCCGACGAGTTCAGAGCGGGGAGGGGCACAGCCAGTCGCACAACGCGCACGCCTCCGTTTGAACGTTTCGGCGCGCAGTGTACGAAGCGAGAAGCAAACTGAAAGCAGAATTTCACGGTAAGTACAGTTCCTCATAATATACCATAGTCTATTTCTCCTTTTTTATATTTGTTGATCATTGTATTTCTGTATATTTGTGTCGGCAAGCGGCAGTGTTCGCAGACAACTTTAGGTGTGAAGCCAGGAAGGAAATACTATTCTTTATAAGTATACAAGGGAAAGTAGAGTATGAATGAATGTTGGTGATGTTTTTTGCATTCAAAATTATATTTAGGAGATAAATCCTGTAGAATCGTGAATAGAATCATTATTGTTTCCAGACAGTAAATGTTACTGCAAGAATACCATTTGACAAATGCAGTGAGGTTGAGAAAAATATTCTCCTTTAGGTCTGATACACAATTTGCCTGTGGTTCAATTCAACACTAGAAGAGTTATATTTGATGTACTTTAATTTGTTTCGTAAGAAAGCAGTCAAAAACTGTGAGACTTACGAGGGAGAAATACAATCTGCGCACATTAGAACTCCTAACCCACCCTTTTATTATAAATTATGAATTATATCGTGTTATGTTGTTACAGAAGCCCTTGAATATGAATAATATGAAACGACTTGCATAAATTGCAACAAAGACTTTTGTTGACAATCGAAGTACATAAGTCTATTTTTAAATAGATTTTGTAATTTTCTGCACAATTTCGTGATGAATCTCCGGATTATAATGATTTACAACCAGTGCTTTTAAAACAAAAGGATTAGAAATATGTAATTAAATCGTTCGAAAGGCCAAGACAAAAACAATATAATTAATTGCATTAACGCAACACACGTGGATAGTTGTCCACTGTAATTTTGTTTTGAGATCAACTTCATTTTGTATAATTTTGCTTGAACAAATATCTTTTAGGATTCAGGAAAAGCCTCAGCCCGTCGTAAAAGATGTGAATAATTTGTTAAAATATATTTTTAAATTTAAAAAAGAACATGTTCTTCACTAACATTTTTTCAAAAATATTAGAACGTACCAAGATTGCAAAGTGGATCATAAATCAATACATCGCATTGTGACCAGCGTGCTAGCTTTCCATCTCTTGCTACGTGTTTGAATTTCCATGCTTGCATGTGATGTATAAAACGAGTTTGAGATTTCAGAACTTGTTCAAACACGGGCTACTACATTGGTTATGGAATTTATCCAGTACTTGCTGAATTAAAGATGTAAAGAAAAGTTATAAAACATGTTCGTTTTTAAACGGATTTTTGAACATTTAAAAATATATTACCAATAATTCCTTAGAGTGCAAAACTCTAAACTAAACTGCGGTTTGCCGGTCACGCTAAGAGCTGATCCTGGAATTGTTTTTACTTCTGGACAGTAAATATATTTACGTTAGTTTTGGAATGAACCCGAAAATGTTTAACTAAGTTTTTCAAGAACGGTAATCACTTTGCGTACTACCTACTCATAAGTGAGAAAAAAGGCTCTTTATTTATAGAGAAAACAGCATGCAAACAATTGTAAAATCATGATTTAGAATATATTTAAAAATAGACTGCCAGTTTTTTTACGTAATTATATTCTTGTTATCGATTTAGTTAAGCTCTGATTACGAATAAATTAGATAACTTTGTTTCGAACATTTTTCTTCTATTTAATAAAATTAATTGGTACAAAATGTGTACAGGTAGAGAGCTAACGTGAGAATTCTGAACTACTTTTACTATATTACAGGGCCAGCCAACAACCCTTGCCTTGCTACATTCTTTCTAGCCCATGTCTTTATTACGAAATAAACCGGAATTGACTAATAAATATTTTTCTTTCGTTTTTCATATTCACATCATTAGACTCAACTGTATTGCGAAGTCATGAGCTATATCACACAAGTTAGCCCCTTCAGTTTTTAGAGGAAAAAATACGAACATTATGGTGCTAACAGTATTAATGGATAGAAGACTGATAGAATATGCCTGGTCGAAAATATTTGCGCATGTTGAAAATACTGATTCAAAATGATTCAAGAATATTGACTGTAGGCACAATAAGCTTTTTATCTTACAGAAAATGACACATTTTACTTAATGCTAAGAAATTATAAGCGACCACCCCTTTATAGGTGACTCACAAGAACGAAACATCACAAAAAATAATTTTGTTGAACAAAACGATTTCAATGAACAAACCAATGAAGATGTTCCCAACATCTGACAATCCGTGGACAATTAGTCAACGTGATATTCACTTACATTGAAATTTTCATGATCGTTAAAAATCACTCACCCCAATTCAGGTCAGAACCCGTTGCATTATGCAAAATCACAAATATTAATTTTCATCAGTACGGATAAGCACAGAAAATATCTAAATTATTTTTATGTTGAATATTTTATTTGGAGAGAATTGTTGCACAGGAAATGTCCATATTTCTGCCACTTTCTAAACTTTTAGCCTATTCGGAAGAAAGGATGTTAATAAAAGCAACGGTTAATGAGCCACCACAACCACTGTTTGAAATGTTCCGAAGCTGCCTTAGTCCACTGGGAAACAGGACTAGGGTAGGCGGATAGGGAACACGTTACTTGGAAGGTGAATGCACCACACGATGCATGCTCCTGGGATTCCGAAGAATACAGAATCGCGGAAAAAACAGTTTTCTACACCATTTCATCAAAGTGAGAAAAAACGGGTGCTGAAGGGATAATACGGTACAGTTTTATCTGCGTTGTTCTTTGTAGGTATACACATTTGAAAAAGTCAAATGACACTTGTAATCATTGCCAACAAACTGTAAAGAGTTCTGTAAAACTATTGATTATTTTGTTGCAGAAAACGTTCAAGAGGGATCTACCACAAATTTTACATATACTTCATTCTTGAAGTGCAATTGTTTCCCTAGATTTTGGAAAGGAATTCCCCTTCATTTTTGATTTCCTGTTTCTGAGTAATTAAAGAGAGTTATGCATGTATTTTTAAATGTCATCCATAAATCTGAAAGAAGAAAATTATGTATCTTATTTGTTCAATACAAACAAATGTGATGGGAAATAAGAAAAAAAATAGAGTGGCGTAAGAAACAATTGTGGTGGGTAATTTAAATATACTTTTAATGTTTCGAAATGTTATTGCAAAACAATTTAAGACAATATGATGTTCCATGGAAAATCAGGACCGACATTTTAAAAGTAAGAAAAGACTAGTCTCTATCAAACAACAAAGTTATAGAAAGCTAAATAAGCAGTAGCGACAGATGAAACATTTTCAGAAGATGAAACAAAAGATAGACACTAAATTGTTACAGATGATGGTGATGATATTGATGATGATTGGATCATTGTAATTTCAGATTTTGAAAGTCAAAAAGAAGAAAAAGATAAAGACGACGACCTAAATCAGAGGAAGATATTTTTGAAGTAGAGAACAACTATGTTACTGTGCTGTTTTTAATTTATTTATTTTCAGACTGGGTTACCATGATTCATGTTCATTTTAATCTAATTTATATCATAACACTTTATTGCAAGTGATGAACTAATTGGTTAACAAATAATATTACTTTTTAAACGTGAAAAATTAACAAATAACATTACTTCATATTGATTAATGTTAACAAATAATATTACTTCATTTTGATTTTATCACTTTAAGAGAAAACAAGGAAATCTAAATCTGTGGGAAGAAACTGGGACAAAATACACACCTGTAGAATGTCTCTCGTCAAACCTACTAAATTGTAATTGATAGCAAGGCAGAACTGGAGAGTTTAATATAACTGGAGGTAATAGGACTCTTAGTTGTGATAATAAGACACCAAAGACACTCATTGTTATTCCAATAAAGACAAGTAAAATTTTGTTAATAAAACGTGAACATATAAGAATTATAATGTAAAATGTAGTGTTCATACTCAAAATAACTGCTTTAAAAATATTGTATCTTATTACTTCGTTCGTTTCTTATTACTCCACTCCCCCTTATAGGTATCCGCTAATGCACCTCGTAGACCTAATATATTACGTTTTAGTGCAGACAGTGGCGGATTTTTGACAGCGCTAAAGACCTAAGTCAAAAACTTATGATTATTTTAAATCGTAGACAACCGTTTTTCTCGGTCACTGCAGTGGTTTCCTCCAATCAATTCACAATCATGGCTTTCCTACTTTGCCTTCGTGGCCAGTGTTAAGACCTGGATATGAAATGAACCTCTATCATCGCAGTGTTCTCCGTCTTGATATGAATAGTTTCCCACAGGAGTAGGGATGATAGGAGATGCGACGTTAGATGTAGAACCCCCACAAAAGAAAGCAAGATCTTCATAACGCTGTGGGTGAGAAAAATGAAAGAGTTTAGTAGCAAAACCAGTTCCAATTTCAACATTTCCTACAGGTATCAAAAAAATTAGCAAAGAAAAGTAATCCTTCTACGGTCATGAAAGAACAAAAAATTTTGATTAAGATATTAAGAAGAACAGTAATAAAGTGAAATAAAAAGAAATTATATCAATACCATTATTATTATAGGAATAATATTTTCATTTTTGATACTAAAAATTAGTAGCAATATACGCCAAGCTACATTTGCAAAGACAAGTTACTGTAATGTTTCCAGGCGTTCTATTACAATTTTCGTTTACAACGTCGTCGAACCACGTGCTCGCGTCGAACGTAGAGTAATCCTCCAGTAATCGAGTCAGTCGTCTGTCATTCCCTTTTATCCTTTCAACCAAGGGCTCGGCTCCCAGAAGTTCTCAGTCGCCCATACAGGAAACCACGGTGTCTCGAGTTGCGTAACTGCTTTGACTTCACGGAGCTTGGTTAAGCAATTTGGCTAAATGTCGCCGGCCATTTCAAATTAGACATGATCAATCCCATACGAAACTGCTATTTGAAACATTCCAATGGAAAAGGGTATTCTATGGGAATGTACAGACAAAATACACTGAAGAACCAAAGCAACTGGTACATCTGCCTAATATCGTGTGGGGCCCCCGCGAGCTCATAGACGTGCCGCAACACCACATGGCATGGACGCGACAAATGTCTGAAGTAGTGCTGTAGG